CCCCAAAACCCCAAAACCCCAAAACCCCAAAACCCCTAATAAGCCTGTCGTAAGTGAACCTATTAATTAATCAAAAATCTAAAACTCAAAAATGTTAATCGAATATGGGATTTTACATGCAATAATTATCCTGCTGAAAATCCAGTTGTTCGGAGTCCTCCCAACCCTTGCAATCCTGGTAGCTGGGTTCTATGGGCTGAGCAAGGTGCTGGATAGGTTCGGATATCAGTTCGCAGTTGGCCAAGATGTCCAGTTCTTCTTTAATTCTGGGAAAGAATCTGCAAATTGTATTGGAATCATTGAAATGGAGAAGATCAGCGCAAAAACTCTTAAGGAAGAATGCTTCCTCAAAAAGGGAATTAGTAATGTTAGGAAGTTGAGGCAGGTCCCTGTCAACTTCTTAGGAATCCAGCTTTGGAAAGATATTGCTCCAGAGACAGCTATTAATCAGTTTTCTACTATTGATGAAAAGTTCTCAAGCCAGGATGACGTAATAAAACACTGAAATGAGTGGGCGAGAGAAAACATCTCTCTAGAGAAACCTCAATGGGAAATTAAATTCAAGGAAAACCATACTGAGACTACTTCTTTGTTGTTAATGAAGTGCCATCACTCATTCACTGATGGAGTAGGGGTCATTACCTTGTTCGCTTTCCTCAATGACGAATCACTGTGCCCCAAAATGATGCCAAAATACAAGGATTTTTCATGTCTTCAAGCAGTACTATTAACTTTATTTACTCCAATAGCTTTGTTGTGGCAATACTGTGTAGTACTCTTTCATAAGGCCCATGAGTCGAATAGGATGATACACACTCCTACTGGAAGACTATCTGGAGAGTCCATCTTTTTGAAGACAAAGACTTTTGACTTTAAAGATATTAGGAAATGTTACAAAATGTTTGAGAACACTACATTCAATAACTACGTCATGGGCGTTTTGAGTAAGAGCATGCATTCTTGGTTTACCAAGAATGGGGTTGAGGCTCCTGAGAGTCTTATAATGAGCTGCCCAGTCTCTATGAAGACGTTACCTAAATCTGTTGCTGATATCAACCTGAATAATTACACATCAAGCGTGACGATCCAATTCCCTGTTCTAGAAAATCTGAAAGAATCTTTAAAAATCACAAAAAGAAGGTTTGCTGAATTCTTTAAATTTTATCACCTAATTCCAACAGTTTACTTCCAGAAGTTGTTCAGGTACATCCCCAGGAAGATAGGGAGCTACCTGTATGACAAGTTTATACAAGAGGTGGATTTCCTTTTGACAAACGTAAGCGGACCTCGTGAACCTATCTATCTCTGAAACAAGAAAATACGTAAGTTTTAACGATGATTAGTAATAATCCCTCTATAGTAAAAATCACTCCCTTCCTTAGCAATTTCTCAAACATGGACTTAGTAGTGGTCTGCTTCTCTTATAACCAGAAGGTTAGCTTCCAGATCATTGCCGACAAGGAGATCCAGATGAACCCTTATGACTTGAAGGAGTTCATTGAAACTAACTTCGATGGAAGAGTTCTTAAACTCAAGAACGAAAATATTTAATTTCTTAACTCTTTTTCAGTAGTTATGACGTAATGAGGGGTTTTGGGGTTTTGGGGTTTTGGGGTTTTGGGG